TGTAGAAAAAGAAAAGAAAGGACTAGTCCACGGGGTCCTCCTCCAACAGGGTCTTGAAGCTGAAAGGCAAAAAAGGAATACCCTCACCAACGAAATGCTTGCTCATCGCCTCAACCCAGTGAAGACGAAGCGAGTGCAGCATGGCACTGGTACCTTCCATCACACACAGAATGCAAATAGTCAGTACGAACCAGAGGTAGAAGCTGACAACAATCATGATAACGCGGGCCACGGGGCTCTCCTGCTCAAAGGCACCACCAATGGTCATGGTCCAGAGGACGATCGAGAGTTGCTGGTGGGCAAGCGACAGAGCCCACAGACGAAGGTAAGAGGCAGTGTGAGAGATACAGTTGAGGCAGAATTCAATGGTGTGGATGACTTGGTGGATCATGACGTCGCCAAAGTCGAACTCCTCGTGCTCTTCATCATCGATGTCCTGAGAAAGCATGGCAACGCCTTCTCCCTCGCTAGCCATACTGTCACGACCGAGCCCGTCCATGTCACCGTCGGCGTCAAGTGCGCTCACCCGGGAGTTCTCGCCGAGACCGCGGTAACCCAAGGCACGAGCACGGTTGTGTTCATAGCGAAGCCAGAACGGCTTGAGGAAGAGCATGATAGGTACCTGGGCCACAGCGATGAGGAGCAAGATAACCTGGACCGGTTTCTGGCCAGGGTAGAGCGGCTCGTCCACCGTACCAGGGCTCAGAAACATGAAAATGAGCATATTGAGCAGACCGGGAGGGTTCACTCCCTTCTCCTGCCAGTTCACGGACCACTTGTAGAGTATAGTGAGGACGAGGTAACCAAAGATCGACTGGAAGAAGAGCAATCCAGGAACAAAGTTGCCCCAAATATCAACCTTGGACTTGAAGTGCCGTCCATTGACATACTGCAAGCAAAGGGCATAGGTCATGTGGCACCATCCCAAAAGTACACTCATCTTCATCTTCATACTGTTCGAAAAGAGCAGAGAATTGTCCGCCTCGTGCCAGTTCCAGTCCAGACCAATTGGATAGCGATAGCCTTCTTTCAATGTCGCCTCGACCATTTGGTCGGGCTTGATATCGTCGGGCCATTGCCACTGACTAGGGAAGATGGTGAAAGATTTGGAGAAAATATCGTTGTAAATAAAACCGGTGTAGATCGAGAACAGACCCATCATCAACATGATGTACCGTCCATAGAATGCCATGTATGTCAGTTCATCCAGTTTAGTCCGCGCCAGCTTCTTTTCCCAGAAGATCATAGCAGAAGCGGCCATGGTCATTAGTGCACCGTGACCACAATCACCAAACATGACTGCGAACAAGAAGGGGAAAGTGACGACCGTGTACAGGCCAGGGTTGACTTCCGAATACTTAGGGATACCGTAAGCATTCACAATTGTTTGGAATCCTTCAGTGAACTTGTTCGTCCTGACAAAAGTGGGAGGGGTCTTGTTGGTACGGATCTGGTTGACAATTGTAGGAACAGTGAGGCCCGCACGGTCGTTCACATCCTGAAGGGTTGACTTGATCAGAGCAAGAGAGTTTGTCGGGCACCACGCCTCGGCGATCAGCGTCTTCCGCGCTTGGTCATATGAAAACTTGTTCAGGGTATCGTAAACGGCCTTCTCCTTCTTGACAATGATCATCCACGCGGCGAGCGAGCGAGCGATTTGCGAAAGTTCCGCATCAAGGGTGTTCTTGGTGTTACGGAGCACATTGCCAACATCGCCGAGACGGGTGTTCACTTCGTGAATCTGGTCTCTTCTCAGCTCACTGTTCTCATCGACACCGTACAAGGATGCGTTGAGTGACTCCGAAATCTTTCGAATCTTCGCAAGGATATTCTTGCCGTGAGCGAAGATGACAAAGACATTCTTGTGGACTTCCTCGTTGGTCATCGGGTCGATAATGGGCTCCGGGATCTCAGACTGGTTCATGTAAAGGTTTCCACGCAGGGTGCGCCAGAGGATACGCTCGAACGCTCCAATTCGATCCCGGGGGATAACACCAGCAACGAATCCAATGTTCATTTCCGAGAAGCTCTGCTGACCCTGGGTGTCTCCATTTTGACGAGGGCGTGGTGCTCAACATCGCGGAGCAAGGGAGCTTCATCGTTGTCGAAGGACTGACGAATGTCTTCAGTTTGTGTGTGGGCCTATTTAGTTAGCTTCAGTTAGCCTCGTCTGTCAACGGCGGTATACTCGAAGCCACCTACCCGATCGAAGAATCCACCGGCCTCTCTAAGTACCCATCGCCATTCACTGAGTTCGACTTCGCGCTTCTTCAAAGTCTCGTAGCTATCGTTCAGAGAGATAATCCGCTGTTCAAGGCTCTCGCTGCGATCAGCCAACTCATCGATCTCCGACGCTAAAGGGGCAGCCAATGTATCGGAGAAATCCGAGGAAGATCTCATGGGGATTGCGGCCTTTTCCATCTGTTGGTGGAAATAGCGGAGCTGCCTTTCCACATTGTCGAGGCGACGGATTTCCTTTGTAAAGGTTCTTTGGAAAGCGTTCGTGTCCGGGTTGAGCTAGAAAGAGGTCAGCGGGGAGTATCAAAGCAAAGCGTTCTAAGCCACTTACATCTCGGAACTGAACCTGACCAACTTCACCTAAAGCACTGACAACTTCTCTTCCGATCTCGTTGGCAATGTAGAGCTGGGTCAAGCTCATATCCGCCGAGCGGAAGAAGGTGTCCCGCGGAGCCATGGTGTAAGGAGGCTACCAGGAGCCGTGTCTCTTGGTAAGAAAACAGGGGGAAAGAGAAGGCTAAAGAGTGACAGTATACAGATAGATTGAATGAGAGGCACAGATCCTCGGCTCTGTTGATGCAGATAGTCCGGGCTCTCCTTGGGACTCGTTCTCGGGTGGCTCAGCCAAGCTGGCTGCATCCAGCCACGTGATTTTGGTCTACACGTGATGTCGTGAGACGGCTGAACAAAGTGTCTTCTACAGCAGACAACGTAGTAACTATATTTCTTTTTAGACCACTCTCGGCTACAACTGCACCTGGGCGGATGAGCTCGTAGCTAGTTATAGTCGCTCTGTCTTTGGTTTTTCTGTATTCCAGGGGTCTGGATTAGCAGGGGATCTGTTCTGATTGCCTACGGGGGAATGGGAACAGATTTCCCCCAACTGATCATAGTTGAGGAACGAGTATGCCATCGCATGCTACGAAATATGTGGCTGCTAAGGGTGTTGGAGTCTACATATACTAACACGCAATATCAAAACAATCCGATAGTTTCTATTTCTTAAGTATGCACGGAGCACATATTGTTCCTATAATTTTGGTCGAGTCCATTGTTGGGATTAGCGACGTAGATATTTACCTCTTAAGATTCTAAGTATATGACAAAGGCCTCTCTTGCCTAGAACCACTCATGTAAATGGGGAAGGGGGTTCCTGCACACTCTCCAAGAGCTCGGTTTACCTGGAAAGCCGATTCTACACTCCATAAGTAACGCCCACGGTCCAGCAAGGTCCGTAACATCATGTCTCAACGGCAATAAAGCTATTATCTGCGATACTTTTCAGGCAATCATGATGTGTCTAATATCATTCGTGGGCGCACCGTAGGTTGCATTGGAACTAGCATCACATCCCAGACAACAACTTCTTTCTCTTTCCCTTTCAACCTCATACAGCCGGCGATACACTAGATACCCTGACCAAAGATCTGCTGGTTGACTCGAACCGCTTTTTCCTCCTTCACAGGCCACTTACATGTCGTGATAGTTCCTCATTGCTCCTCGTCTTCCACCTCGTCGTCTCCTCGTCATCTTCCTCGTCATCTTCCTCTCCATCTTCCTCGCCGTCTCCCTCGTCGTCTTCCTCGTCCTTGTCGTCATCCTTCTTAAAAAACACGCTTCATGGCTTCAAGCACGTCACCGACGCTAGATTTCAGAGTGACCAAACCACCATTGATTTGAAACTGTTGTGTTTTAGTGGGTTCTTCATTGAGGAAACTGACCATGGCAGACTGGATGCTTCTCAAAGTCTCATCAAAATGTCTTACTTCTCGTTTCAGCTTGGTCACCTTCCCTTGGAGAACCACTTTCGGGCGACTCCCATGCTGGCGAGTAGCCACGGTGTTACCTTATAGTGGCTGTTAGCTTATATGTCATAAGATACCCGTCGCATTTGAGTATGTACCATTGATGAAGCTACACGCTTGTACAGGATCTTTGCTCCATAGGCAGTTTCCACAACAACCATGAGACATGGTCGGGACCCTTACACATTCTGTGAATGGCCAAGTTCTGTTTTCGCATCTCTCGCAGGGTGTCGGGGCTTGGGTGCCCACAATCTGAGTTGTTGCTGCCCTAAGGCGAACATTGTTTACGAGACCGTTGCAAAATTCCGCCTGTGATATACCATGGATGACAATTTCCCGCAAGGGCTTCATCGCGCGCATTAATTTGATATCGAGACTAGGCCTTCTGTCATATCTCATCACCGCATCTGTTAAATCCCTGTGTAAAGTTCAGTTTCCGAGATCCTAACTTCACAAGGACGGCTGCGTTTATTGACTCACATCGTTACGTTGGAGGTCTGACACTGATTGGCAATTGTTGATGTAGAGGTGTAGATGTGTGCTGTAGAGGATGTCCATAAGGACTGGGGAATTGATGAAGGATGAAGAAAGAAGTTCTCTTTCATGGTTATATACATCAAAGAGAGATTGCACAGCAGGTTTTCAGTTGTCGTTTGCTATTGAACACTATACTGTCACTATACTCAAGATACAAGCGAGGTTTCAAGAGCATCATTGATTGTCAGTCTCAGGTCTCCATGGCCACCTGTTCCTGTCAAACAGTTGCAAATTCATCTATTAGATATTCTAATGGAGCACTGGGCATTTCGTTTCCTGGCATAGCTCAAATTCCCCGACTGTTATGTCTTCCATGGTGACCGAGGACACAGCAAGATAGATGGGGTTAAGCGGCAAATTTCTATCACCAGACCCCGAGCGTTAAGATACCACTGGGTGAGTTAATACTTCTCCACCATACTATCCGGTAGGCTTTTCCAACTCAAAAAGTGCAACCGCATCGCCCTCCATCGACTGCTCTTGGTACATCCTAAACCCAGTCCTCTGCAGCACCTTCACGCTACCAATATTCGCTCTATTGCACGCCGCAAACAGTTTCTCCCTTTTTAGATCCGGTACAGTCCCATTGAACCCCATTCGATCAAGTTTCCACCACGCATCTACAATACCAGCAACTGCCTCGGTGGCATAGCCCTTGCCCCAAAAGTCAGGATGGATATTATATCCCACTGACGGGGCTGGGCTAAGAGCATTGATCCCTGCTCCTCCGATAACCCTCTCTGACGCATCCTCGGAGCGGATGATGGCGAAGAAGAACATCCGCCCAACAGCACCTGACGCATCCGGCGTCGTGAATGTCTTCTTGGTAATGATGGCCTCGGACTCCGACATGTCTTTGTGCGGCACTTTGGGCCAGCTATAGATGTTCATAGGTCAGTGTCTATCCCAGGATATCGTGGTAGTTGTTGCTCTTGGGGTATAATCTTACAGCCAGTTCGCCACGTCTTGTCGTCGGCGGATCTCGAAGATGGCCGCGGCGTCAGCCACCGTCAGTGGTCGTAGGTACAGGCGACTTGTGTGGATAGGTTCCAAATCGGCCGGAATGATCACAGATGTAGATTGGCTGGGGAAAAAGCTCATTTCAACGGAATATGTGATGTTCTTGAGCCCAGGTTTCGTGTTGTATATCGAAACACAATCAGATATATATCTCGGAATTCCTTCATCGGCTTTCTTGAATTTAATTCCACACTAACTCTACCACGGAAAACAGTTATATAGTCGTGTAATGTACCTGACCATTGCCAGAATTTCGCGTCGAAGTAATCAGTTATATTTTGTGTGAGTCATGATTTCAGAGTGCTACTCCCCGGCTTATATCCGGACAACAACAATATCCATGGACCTCATATCAGTGATATATGCAACACTATAGTAAGGACGCAGAACAACAGGATAGCCAATGCTTGTTTGAATAGGACTCGCAGCTATATCTACATACGAGTTCGAGCACCACGCCGAGATAACGCATCCCCTAGTGCTTTTGAAGCTCCAGTGCAGTGTCGCATCACCAAGTCGGGAGCTTGCAAATACAAGACAATTATTTGGGAACTGATGATAATTTACACCCATAAAACATCGTGGTAGGAAGGAAAAAGAGAAACCCAAGTATCCTCGTAACGCCATCGTCGTTGGTAGACACCAGCTCCCGTCGACTGGACCTCTCGACGGTAGTCGACGAGCACGCAGAAACGGAGATGTTCAGCGGTCTATCATCAGCCTTGACTTAAGCACCGCCATCCCTCTTCGCATATTCCTCCTCCATCCGCTCCTCGTACAGGCGATCGGCCTCCTCCTTGGTCAGAGCGCGACCACCATCAGCATTCTGCGACGCACTAGCTGAGTTGCCAGGCGCGGTCCCGAAATAGCTGTTGTTGTTCGTCTGGTCGGAGGAGGTGTGTGTAGCTGAGCTGGGAGGTTGCGTGCAGTTGGCGTCGCTTTGTTGCTTGTCAAAGAGGTGGGCGGTGGGGACAGGCATCTTGGTTGAGGGTGAAGTTTCGGTCGCGGGTGCAGCAATGGCTTTGAGAGGAGTAGGTTGCACAGGGGAATTATGGTAAACTAGAATTCGATCTGTTGAGAGATTGACTTTAGTAGGATGCAATGGCTGGTTTTATGCTGGTACGAGTTGGCCTGGGGCTTCGTCGCCACACATGTGGCGAAGCGATTGAGTCAGACGTCATGTCAACAAAACGGAGCCGGGATGTGAGAATCCAGCGGTCGATGACTGACAGCAGGGGACACTGAGCACTGAAGCACCGTAGAATGAACTAGAAGTGAACGTGTTCTCATTATGGACAGCGGACAGCCGTTGATGCGCGTCTGGAGGTACGCGTCCATGAGACAGAGGACTCAACTACCTGACTCTCTCTTCTATTATATGGACGAGGCACTAGACTATCAAGGGCAAGGTTACGAGTACGGAACATGGATGAACGTGAATAGCTACAGCTTACTAGGACTTTATTGACTACAGGATAAATCTCTTCTCCAACCTCGAGCCAATGGCTCAAAACTTGATGAAAAGAAAGAGTTCCACGAATGGAGAGTGCCAAAGAATACGCCTGTCAATGACCCGTAAAGAACCATTGAACAGACTGTTCCGCCACGCTGTGCAATGCAGGGACCAGTCTGTGGTGAGCCGCCTTGTTGATCGCAGTCACCCAAACAAGGTAAGTATGAAGAAGAAAGAAAAAGAAGAGGAAGAGCCGGGGGAGAAGGGAGTATTTATGCAAAATTTTAAAGGCGGTGGCAAATTCTGGAGGCTGGCACGTCCGCCGATTGGCCAATAAGCGAGGTCACGTGATAGTACCAAGACCCATCCAGACATGTGATATGACTCATCTACCGCCCTCTCTTTTTTTTGGTGACCTGTCAGGACTCTACGGAGTCGTATGTGCATGTCCCTTTACGGAGTACAACGTACAGGACACAGGTACCATGCATTCATTCCTTGGGTTCTAAGTGCTTGCGCCAGAGTGAAAATGGAATCTTGAGCCAACACACAGACCGCGGTGATGAATCAATAATTGAAACATCCTTGTTCGAGACTCGACGCCTCAAAAACAAGCCAGACTCCATACCCGAGCTTGTGTGGATCCTCCCCTATTCCACAACTTTGTATTGTGGCTCTCACCTCCCGTACCCAAAAAGCCCGAGACGTTTGAATCACAATTTGATTCGGATACTGTCCGTCGGAAGTATACCTTTGTTCAGTGTTCTACAAGATTAAATCGGGTGAGAAACCCACAGTTAATATCAAGCTAATATTAAGCAAACGCCCATCCTCATCAAAGTGTGCCATGGTTTAAGTCGATCTAGTGGACGCTAGACTTGTCGGGGGGCATCGGAGAGCTTCGATGGACGGGAAATCTGTCCTCTGTGTACACCGCAGGTCGAGTTGGTGCTTGGCGCGGAGTATCAAGATTAATTTCCTCCGTAACGCGCTCGGGAGATATGTTCTGTTCTCGAAAGCAAAGAAAGTGGAGCTAACTGTAGTCCTGTTGCTGTGGCACTGTGTTTTAGTTTCTTTTTTTCTCCTGCTCAAAACGTATAGTTATCTGCATCATGTACAGTACACATAATGTACTCCGTAGTCAGATGGAGCAACATGCACCCGAAAAAGCGGGAAAGAATCCGTAGGCGCTTGGGTCCGCTACGCATGGCACTTGCATGGTGTCAAAATTCAGTCCACACAGCAACAAGACAGAAGGAAAGATCGACATGTCCAACTTGGAACAATGATGTGATCGTCGATGGTCGGTAAATTCCAACCATTCATAGCATGCGGTAGGAGCAGGGTTGAGACCTTGGGACTCCCGACCGCAAAAAAAGGGCGAGCACGGCAGGGTTGGGGAACATGAATGGCCCTTCGTAGCGCTGGAGACCCTAACGGGTGCAACAAGGGGGCTTATGATAGGGTGGATTCCACCCCGTGTGGCTATCATTACTGGAAATGCTTCGGCCACATTCTGGCAGTCAGTGTCGGGACCTCATGGTGCTTGTCCTGATGCTAGTTGTAGATCAGAATCATACCACGTACTTTTGTACACCCAGGGATATAAAAGGGTGACTATGCCATAGTATCGGGAAAAAGCGCTGTGTACCAAGGTACTTCCCGTTCTCAGGGCCTAGAGACACTATCCTGTCGATGAACCGTGGAAATGAATCAAATAAAGCGCTTTGATTCACCTCCGGGTTCGTAGTAGGGCTGGCTAGCCCCCTATTCGCCAAGACTTGAAACTAGAATGCATAGTCCGGTGGGGACCGCGTACTCCGTACTTTCTTGATCATATTTATCACTGATAATTCTAGAAGAAAAGCAGCGGAGTATATTGCAAAAGGCGACAGAAAAGGGGCTTAATTAGGGGCATTATTCTCCAAGCCTGTGGACCTTGTCTCCAGTCTCAAAGATGTTCTTCGCAATACCGTACCCAGGACGGAGTACTCCGTTGTATACTTCGTCTTCCGGTGGATTGGAAGTATGATGAGACGATTGTCGTAAGGAATGATGCACACATTACGGAGGACTTAAAAAGGCGACACTCTGTAAATGTGCTGGGATTGGCTAGACGAACACATCATGGGATCCTTCCCGCAGCGTGGTAAAGAGAGTTGATACGCCGATAGGGATGTACATCAAAGTCAGAGCCAAGAAGGAGGGGTTGTGTCACTGCTGGTTGGTTGTCCACGAGGATTTTCACGCCACTCCATCATAGAGTTGATATCAGGTCATGGGATCTGAGTAAAGATTGCACCAGGAAGTCGTGATGGCCAACCATTCTGCGGAACGTAAAGATAGGTGATAAGTGCATGGCTCTGTAGCCAATACCTTGCTTAAGCTATGTGAATGAATGCGGCAAAAGCCCATATCTACTACGTACTGGGCTGATCATCATGAAGGAAGCAAAATGACGGGCTGGTGGTGGGGGCGGTTGGAGTACAGGGATGCCCCTCCAAAGGGTTATTCTAGTACCGATATGGCCCTTCCGAGGGGGAGTTGCAAGTTTGGATCGAGTTCTCGACTATGTTGTATGCGGAGTAATACAAAAGAACCATCGAAGGGCTTAGTTGATTTGACAATGAATGGATTATTTGAGTAATTCGGACGGCAGACCCCCCTGAACTGTGTAACGGGAAAGTTGAAAGTGCTATGAGCGCCAACGGTGTGGCGGTCCACCGAACAATCGTAGAATCTCCTTAGGGGCCAGGAAGTATGGATTGGTGCACGTATAATTTTTTGGATAGTCTGATGACCTGATGCCTGAGATAACCCCGCTATGACGATATGATGGCAATTTTCTTTTTGGTACGGAGTGTACAATATACAATATAGAATAGAATGTACATGAAACAAAAAGAATGAAAGACATATATTGTCAAATCGGTAACAGGATCCGAACTGCACGGATTAATTAGGGACTCAACGGGGCCGTTAATTCAAGCTGCATGGCCGATCATAGCTCGGGCATGTGGTGTGATGGTTTCATACAGTTAAAAGCCAAAATTTGCAGAGTTTTCTTTCTCCTATTTCCTGATGTTTAGGAACTAAATCCAGTTAGGTCATGTCTAGCGCCATGCTAGACAAAGAAGTTCGTGTTATCCCGTGGACCTCAGGACGGGAGTAGATTGACCTACGTTCCACCAGGACTACAAAGTTAGTTGCAAACCATATTCCAGGTTACATATTAAATTTGACATGCTAAGATATTGAATAAAGCAGGAGGAATAGTTGAAACAAGTGTAATAATAATAGAAAATAATATGAAATAATAGGGGAAAAAATAGAACTGAAAAAAACAGTGAAAAAAAAGGAAAAAAACAATTAACCCCTGAAGTGCCATTACCTAATCTCCCTGTGGGTCCACGGGTCCACTGAGCTCTGGGCTCCCTGCAGGTCCTTTCCTTTTCTGGGCAGACGCCATCAACAACCCTCTGACTCTTTTTTTCCCTTTTCCTCTCCTCTCTTCCTTTCTTCCTCCCACAAAGCAAAATACCCATCGTGATACCCGAGCTATTGTGCTCTAATTTCTTTTGCTTTTCTTTTTGAGATACCCTATACCCCTAACACGCCTTTTATTCTACGAAGCTCAGCTTCTTTAATACCTTTATTATTTTAATCATGTCTGAGGTCCAGAAGACTGTTGAGGAGACCCCCGCGGTCGTCCCTGCCGAGACTACTGCTGAGACCCCTGTTGAGACTCCTGCTGCCACCGAGGCTGCCACTGAAGCTCCCAAGGAGACCACTGAGGCCGCCGAGCCCACTGCCACTCCCGCCGTTGAGACCACCGAGGCTGCTGAGCCCGCCAAGGAGGAGGTGAAGCCCGCTACTGAGGGCGTTCTGGGATACAAGGCTCCTGGTCTGGTCAAGTAAGCTCCGACTGTGACCACAAATGCGATACAGAGACTAACGGTTATTCTTTGCTTTTTTTCAGGGGCTTCCGTTTCGCCAAGCGCTTCTTCTACTTCAACGAGGAGGCTGTTGAGAGCAAGCAGCTCTCCGTCTTCCACCAGAACGAGAAGGCCGCTGTTGCCAACCCCACTGCCGCTTGGGCTAGCCAAACCGGCAAGGGTCTGCTCTTCTTCACCAAGCGCGCTGAGGATAAGGCCACCCCCGCTGGCATTTTCAACCTCGTAAGTCCTTCGACGACTGTGTCGCGACGTAGCAAACACTAACATGTGCAATAGGCCGATGTCTCTGACGTGACCAAGGAGGGCACTAGCGAGTTCCTCTTCAAGGTTGCTGGCCAGAAGCACACCTTCCAGGCCTCCAGCGCTGCCGAGCGTGACAGCTGGGTTGTCGCCATCGAGGCTCAGGCCACCGAAGCTAAGGCCGAGAAGGAGACCATCACCTCCAGCGAGGGTTACAAGGCTGAGCTCGAGAAGCTCGCCAAGCCTGCCGTTGCCGTTGCCGCCGCCAAGAAGCCCGAGGAGAAGAAGGCTGAGGACAAGAAGGAGGAGACCCCTGCTGCTGAGGAGACCAAGGCCGCTGAGGAGGAGCCCAAGGAAGAGAAGAAGGAGGAGAAGAAGGAGGAGAAGAAGGAGGAGAAGAAGGAGGAGAAGGCCGCCGCCAAGAGCCGTTCTCAGTCCCGCAAGCGTACCAGCATCTTCGGTACCCTTCTAGGCAAGAAGGACGCTGAGGAGAAGAAGCCCGAGGAGAAGAAGGAGGACAAGGAGGAGACTCCCGCTGCTGAGGAGGCCAAGGCCGCTGAGCCTACTGCTGAGTCCTCTGCTGAGGCTCCTGCCCCCGTTGCGGCTGAGACCACTGAGACCGCTGCTGCTCCCACTAAGGCTGCCGAGCCCACTGCCGAGACCTCTGCTGAGACTACCGAAGCCGTCAAGGAGGAGGCTAAGGATGACAAGAAGGCCGAGAAGAAGGCCAAGCGTGCTTCTATCTTCGGTAACTTCTTCCAGAAGGTCGCCAGCCCCTCCCAGGAGAAGTCCGAGAAGGAGGCTACCGCTCCCGCTGCCGAGGAGACTCCCGTCGCCAGCACCGCTCCTCAGCTCGAGAACCCCGTCGAGGAGGCCGCTGTCAAGCCCATCGAGGCCGAGGCTGTCACTGCCCCCGCTGACGCCGTGGAGACCCCTGCTGCTGAGACTCCTGCCGCTGAGGCTGTCTCCACCCCCAAGGAGAAGCGCCGCACCTCGTTCTTCGGCAACCTTGGCATGAAGAAGGAGAAGAAGGCTGACTCTGACAACGAGGTCACCGATGGCGAGGCCAAGGAGACCAAGGCCAAGAAGCTCGGTGGTCTTTTCCGCAAGCCCAGCAAGGCTGTTAAGCTCGACAAGGAGGAGGTTGCTGCCGCTCAGACCGAGGCCAAGGCTGACGCCGCGGAGGAGGCTCCTGCCGTCCCTGCCAAGGAGACTTCCACTGAGGCCCCCGCTGTCGTTGAGGAGGCTCCCAAGGCCACCGAGACCACTGAGGAGTCCAAGAACGTCAACGTTGCCGCCGCCACCCCTGTTCAGGCTGCCGCATGAAGTGCGACTGGGAGACCTATCGTGGAGTTTGAGCGGTGGTGGGACTTGTCCTACCCACCGCCCGCCCGCGATATCCCTGACGGTCTAATTGAGTCCGGAAGGTGAAAATTTGATACCACTTCGCTCTAATTGTTTTGCTTTACCCTCGCCACTGTCGTTGTTCTCAGTACCCCTGACTCCCCTATTCTTGGGTCTGGACCTGAGATGGCGACAATGAGATACCCGCTGTCGCTTTTTGTTCCCTTGATCTCTATTTCTCTAAAATAATACCATCGGCGCCAACGACGCCAGCAGCCGTTTGGACTGCGGTCCATTCCTTTACGACCTGCGGCCCGCGCCTGTAACTCTATTCGGGACGCGACTATGTGTTACGTGGTGTGTCGTCCGACTAGATTGATACCACTCTGCCGTTTTTCTTTTTTTGGTTTCTTGCTTTTGTGTTTGATACCCTGTGGGGAGGATGGGTGCTCATTTTGCTTGTTGCTTGAGCTTTGGATATAGTCTGTTGACTTGTTTCTTCCTGCAACCCAAATTGACCCTCTAATGTTGTCTACCGTTATTGTCCCGAACGGCTGGTTTATATTCCGCCAGTGGAGGTGGCACACCTTGCGATAGGTAATACTTAATAGAATCTCTCAGTTTTTGCTTTACATATGTGCCTATTGTGTGTAGTGTAAGTAGTCTTTAACTCGATCAATAGCTTGGACGGTGTCAAGATGAGCAAGCGAGAATCCTTGTACGAGGCGCTCAAGGTACTAATTTCTACCAGTTGGCCGCGAAGCACATGCTCGGAATTGGCCCTCCACGTCTTGTATGATATTGCGGAGCTTCCTCTTCTACTCGTCTCTTCCCATATGCCTATTCTCGACATTCCCGTACGATGGTGGCTACAACCACGACGTAGGTCCTTCGAGCACGAAATGTTCATCGTGTTGCCAACCTGCAGCAACAGTAACAGCAACAGCAAAACCAACCGCCACCTACGGAGCCTCGGAACGAACCATTGACCATCCCAATATCGAATATATCCCAGACCCAGAGCCCAACTATCCAACAGCCACCACCTTTTGGTTCACCATCATCGCACTATGTGGTATTCTATCCTCGGACGGCTAGACGCCAACACCGTCGCTACAACCGTACCGAGCATTATTAACCGTTTCCACACTGCCGCCGACGTGGGATATGGTACTCATCTGCATTTCGACTCTGGGCCTGCGCGTTCCAATTTGGACTCGCGTAGCTGTATAAGCCCTTTCTTAAACACGACCATCTTCCTAACAACCATTGCTATATTCCTGGGCTTCATCTTCACGACGTCCATAGGTACGCTGACTCGATGACGAACACCTTGTACTTTCCACCATACTATCCATACCATCAAGTCGTCTGATGCCGGGTATGACTGCCCAATTGGTGGCTATAACTTTCTTCAAGATACCGGCACCACCATGTTCGGCTACTGCGCCCCCCCCCCCTTCATGATCTTCACCTCCGTATCATGCCAATTGTCGCGGGCTTGATGACAATATACAATCTCCACACATGCCTAACCAAGATCATCCTCTACTCCAGGTTCCTGGGCTTTAGTGGAGGCACCGGGTTCCAAGCGCTCTGTCCAAGCGGCTGTTCAGACAACGTTGGGTTCGGCAGATATCAACCTTAAAATTGGGGTCACCTTGTCTGGGCAGCATACGGGCTTGCCGGCTTTTATCGCTATTGGGCAGGTTGTATTGACGAACAAGTTGTTATCAAGTTCGGCAGATGTTGTACCAGGCTTGACACCTACGTCTATTGAGCAGCACACACTTGGCGATATCAAGAATGGGCTCCCTATCCAGCGCTGGTATGGGGTCTTGGGTAGTATTGATCGGAGCTCGACCCATACTTGATGCCTTCCTGTCGTGTTGGCTTGCATGACGATGGTGGGAAAGTCTTTTGATCGAATGGCGGTTAAGCAGAAGCAGTCGTGAAGTATGGGCGGCACGGAAGGAGCACTCAGAGACTGCCTTTCACACTGCCCAGATGAATGCATCACATTCGTCCGCGCTATACAAGTCGTACATACATAGTCACAGTAGGCCATGTTCATTCCTACGTATTCTAGGAAAGCCCCACCCAGGGAAAATCGGGTCCATATAGTTTGCATATGTATATGCAAGCAATACTCGTAGTTGAAGATCTAGCGACCCATCGCGATGCGTTGGCAGTCTGGGGTGCATTTTGCTTGAATGATTGCCATGTCAAATAGCCTCATTTTATGAAACCGCCATTCCACTAGGCATGGTCTACAGGCACCGTGATATTTGGCCTCTCACGCGAGCTCATATCGCGGTTACCTAGGTTTAACGTTTTGCGATATGATGCTATATTGATTGTAAGAGGATCAACAAAATTCTAGACTTGAATTTTAACTGTTATGCTAGGCAACCTTGGGATAATGAGGACATTTCTAGTCCATCACACATGTCTGCAAGGTGTCCTCATAGCGGGCACCTATTTCGGCGAAGCCTCGGTCTTTGGAAGATACGTCGGGATTATGAAAACCCACAAAGAAAAAAAGAAAAAAAAAAAATTCAATTAATTGGGTCTGGACGGACTGTTCCGTAGTCCGGACTCCGCGTTGGGAGTCTAAGAACTTGAATACGAATACTCCCGTAAACGATATTACAATATCCTGAGGGATTTTTTTTCTGAAACCGAGTAATATAGATAAGAAACACTGGTTTACCACGGATTTATGGCTCTTTAATAACATTGCATATTCAACCTACAACACTCAACCTAGGAAATATTTTCACCTGAAAGACCAGAAAAGGACAAACGTTAAAAAGTCAATTTCACGCCCTTCGGCAGGACTAAGAAAATACGAGTGTCTTATAGGATGTTGGCCATGGACTCAGCCCACCGCGGGGACACAATTGGGAAATGATCGGTGGATCCTTTTTCCTCATCCTCATGGAGAAAGGCTGTACCTCCCCGAAGCTGACACGTAGGAACCTTGGAATTGTCTTGGTTCCTGGATGGAATTGATTTCCTCAAGAAGACTTGGTACCGTTTTACATATGGTTCAAGAGGTTTTAGGAATAAGAAAAGAAAGAAACCGAGAAAAAAAAGGTGACAGGAAAAATTAAATTAAAAAACCAAAAATGCAGGATGCCTGGATATTCCCGGAGGGATAGGAATCTGATCAATTATTGGTCAATTTGGAAAGAAGCGGAGAGGATGGTGGAGACCGGTACTTGAAAGATACTTGGACTCTGTAGGCAAATGCAGGCGAATATGCGGGTACCATCCAATGTACTGCGGGCTCGATGGATGCCTGTCAAATGTAACCAATCAGGACCATGGAGCACACTGTGACTCACACCCCGTGACTTTCAGGACTAAGCCCCGTGCGGCTCCGGAGTCCCGATTGGTTAGCGCCAGGGCACACAGTCCTTAAGAAGTGCCTGAGTTCCCCCTCCCCGTTTGCCTGATTTTTCTTCCTTATACTGTTCTTCTTCATACACACAACCCATTATATTCTATACATAAACCGCCACATTGCTATTAGACCAGAACTATACTCAACTTCACTATCGCCAAAATGGGTGCCCAATAAGCTCCCCGTCTTTGAACAGCCAGTCTTTCTCAACTGAGACAGACATTATTTCTTCAAGAACCAACCCTTCTTCTATCTCCTCTCTTCCCCCTTCAGAGCCTCCTTTTGGACCTCTGAACTTCAGCATCGCATCGCGTAGCTCGAGTTCTCCTAACAACTTTACCCCGATCGACTTAACGTCGTTCACCACGGATTACCACCAGCAACCATGGCTTCCCTCACCCCCACCTCCACAGCCCTTGGCTTCCAATCAGAACAACAACAACAGCAACAACAACAACAGTGCACTCGAGGACTTTGTGCTCTATCCTCCAGCAACACCACACCCGCAGCCCCGCTCGCGTGTGCCCGTGAATCCAACCCATAGACCTTCTGCACTTCAGCCATTCCTGGCGCAGAATAATCCTCGACGACACTCCTTCAGTCTGCAGTTGCAACGACATCTCCAGCAGCAGTACTCTGGCTCACCTGTCCAAGACCCCAGAGTGACCCAGCTTGCCCGGTCCCCCTCTTATTGGTCCCGTCCCACGTTCACGCACAACCGTTCCAACACGGCTTCTGTGCCTTCCAATTCTCCAAACACCAACCGCCCTCCCATCCCACTTTTCAACGGTCAACAAAACCACAAAAACAACACGCAAACGTACAGACGTGTCATGTCCACTCCCAACTTCATGGAAGGTAATTTATCATACACTTCACCATATCCTAGTGAATACATTGCTAACCCCATGCAAGCTCACGAGGTTGATCTGTTCGGTCTCCCCTCTGCCGACTTCCCTGCTGGTATGGATTCCGCTCTCTCGTTCAACGATCTCGGGCTGGCCAACGACTTCTCCTCTGAAGGTCCTCCTGGCACTATCTCGCCCAAGGATCTGATGATGGATGCGTCTGTTCCTCCCTCCGGCACTTTCACCGACTTGAGCACTCCCTCGTTTGAATCGCCCGGCAACTTCAGCCAGAACACCTCGCCCATGTTTTCCGACATGGATATTGCCGGCCACGAAGAATGGCCCTCCCTCTTTGATCACTCGTCCGATCCACTAAACGCCTTTGACCTCGCTACTTTGGATGTCGCAGCTGCCTTCCCTACTGAAGAGAAGCAGAAGCCAGCCATGCCAATTCCCATGTCTCCTGTCTCTCCTCGCGTAAAGCGATCGGTGGTATCGTCGCCTGTTCCCGCCTCCGGTGCAGTCAAGCACTCCAGCGTCTCAGGTGTCAATCCGCGAGCGCGCAAGAATCTGTCGCCCATTGAGTTCGATCCCAATGATCCTGTTGCTGCGAAACGCGCTCGTAACACCGAGGCGGCGCGTAAGTCGCGTGCCAAGAAGATGGAACGCCAGTTCACTTCGGAGCGACGCATCGAGGATCTCCAAAAGATCATCGCTGAGCGCGACGCGGAGATTGCCAAGCTCAAGGCTCAGCTCCAGATTCAAAACACCTACCAGTAATGGTGGAGCTTTCATCCCATCTTGGTCATTCCGTCCTAATTTTTGAGACATTGGTCTTTGGCTTATGGCCCACTTGGTGATTCTGACGATTCTAACGATTGGACATTTAGTCTATGTTTTTGTTTTCCCTTTTTGACCCTCTTGGGTATTGTGGTAGGCGCGGGTGATGGGTAAAGCCTAGCCCTGACGTCTCACCGAGATCAGATCGCGATTTGGTTCGTTTCGTCTGATTCTCTTAAAAGTTTTGAGACATGTTCCTCAGTCAATGTTTCTTTTCCTTTTGATCTGTGTTTCTTACTTTTGTTTCCCTGCTCTGCTGCTTCAAGCTCCTTACTTGGTTTTTGAATGTTTTAGGCCGGTTCTGATCGTCTCCCTTTTGGGATTGACTCGTGGCTATCTTAATGTGGAATTTGCTTTTGTTCAATTATATTCTCTATCTTGATTCTACTTGGAAACTGGGATCTAGTAGCTTACCTCGTAAAGAGAAAGTGTAGTCCATGGTCCTCCCTAGTACGAAGCTCCTTCCGATTACTCCGTATCCCGCGATGATCTATCTGCATGTCCCTCATGGCGAAAGTGAAAATGTATAATCTAACCCAGCTCAGACTTGCCTTTTAACGCCTCATAAACACACCCCGATCCCTCCAACCATCCTTCATCTCATACCATCCACACTCACAACCTAACGCGCTTCCAAAATCCCCTCCCTGTACCCAAAAGCCAAACAGCACTCCATTCCTCCCTTAGAACGCGCCTCGACCGCTTCCTTTCAGCATGAGCCACGCGCCGTCCAAGGACTGCTGTTGCTCTATGAATGAACGAAAGAGGGCAAGAGACACTAGGAGAGATGGGGCGTTTGGGATTCTGGCGCGCAGGGGGCGAGATTTGAGTAGATAGGTGTGCTTGTGGATGTTGTGTGTATTGAAATAAAGGTATGATTGTTGGGTGAGGTGGAGGTTTCGGAAGTATCTGTTTCCATGTTCTGTCATCATAGCTGGTGGTGCAGGGAGAGAGGAAGTCAGAATAGAGGGAGAAAATGGAAAGGAAGAAGAGGAATCTATAATGGAGAAAAAGAAAGAGTAGATGGATGGATGTGTAGGAAGATGCATGGGGATACGCATCGCATGCGCAAACACCAAAGACTCAAAATCATGTAGCAGAAATCCATCCGCCACAAGCCTAGTCTGTCTCAGCTCAAAGCATCCGTACCTCTCGATCTCCCCGTCTCCATCTTAGCCGTCCTCGCGCCAAACTGAATAGCCCTCTTCTTCTCACGGGACACCCTCACCAACCCCAGCCGCAGAGCAACGAGCCGCAGCGCCAACTTCTCACAATCAATACCAGCCGTAGCGTCGATCTCCGGAAGTCCGAACCCGCACTTCTCCCACACAGGAGCCCGCAGCACCCAAGCCACGAATTCCTCGTCTCAGAAGGGGAAACGCGTCTCGCGGCCCCAGTGCGAGAGGACGCGGTCGTCGCGGCCGAGATTGCGCGAACCGAGCCGACTGACATCGAGGTCGATCTCGGCGATCAGCTCTTTGAATCCGCCTCGGTTGAAGGCGACGCTGTGGCGGCCGTAGCCGGCGAAGAGCTCGTCGGCGCCCAGTCCGGAGAGGAGGACGCGCGAGGTGGTTGTGTAAGTGGGTGACGGGGTGTCCGGGGTTGGGAGTTGGGCTGAGGGATCTGTTTGGGCTGTGCCTTGGCCGCGGGATGCGAAGTACAAGGCGCATGCGATGGACATGTCCATTTCGGTGTTGTGGGGTCTCATTAGGCGCTTGACTTGGTCGCGGTGTGCGAGGGTTTCTGTGTAGGGGATATCGATGGCGATGAAGCGCCATGTCCGGCCTGGACAGGTTGTTTGGAGTTCGATGTGCGCGGCCCGCCCGGTTATTCGGTCTGGGCAGTTTTCGTATATGGAGAGGGGTGGCGAGGAGGGAGATTTTTGTTGGTTGGCTTTTGCGGCTGCTGCCACTCGGGGGTTTTCGAATGCTACGTTGAGGAGGTCGATTGGTTCCTCCAGGGGGAGGATGTCGTGGGCGAGTCTGGCGAGAAGTGTGCAGTCTAAACCGCCGGAGAAGAGAACGGCTGTTTTGGCGGTCTCGCCTGCAATGTAGCCTGGAGGCTCAGGGATGTTCTGTATTCTCAACTCAAGTGATTGACGCAGCTTTGACTCGAGCTGCTCGACGAATGCTGAGTCTGTTGTCAATGCAGGAGGCTGCTCTGTTGGTAGTGATGTGTTCATGGGTGGAATTGATTTTCTCTTTGGTCTCTCGTCAGTTGCTGCTCCCGCGGTAATATATAAAGGACGTACAATGTGATCAGCTGGCGTTGAAGCAGCAGAGCTCCATGGCAAGGTCTCGATTTGGCACAACTCTCTGGGAGATAAAGAAGGATCTTGATAGCGAGCTAAGTCAATCGTACAAACACCCTCGGTGCCCACTTCCTTGAAGCAATTCACCGATGCACTGTCGCAGATGCTGCAGATCTTCAAATTCCCATCTTCATCGAATCCTCCGAGGAGAGATCGCCTCCCAAGACAATCTCTGCTGTAGAAGAGCCTTGAGTTGACTGCATCATAGAAGACAAAGGCAAATGGCCCAGAGAGACTTGCAATAGCTTCAGCCATTCTTTCAACAGAATCCTTCTGATCACTATCCACTGCCTGTAAAAATAAGTTGAAAACACGTTCTGTATCATTGCCTTGGACACGTTCCCCAGCAACCTTCCAGGCTTCTCCGTTCCAGCAGAGCACAGACTGGGTTGTGGGGTCTACGAGTGGCTGTGTGTACACATGATCACCCCTCAATGAAAGCACTGTGGATGTGAAGGTGAGATAATAGGAAAGGGACGGAGACACTCCATCCTGTGCGTTGATATCTTTTTGCACCGTATGCGTTCTGTAGCTGTCTGGTCCTCGCTTTTGGAGCAGAGAGCAGGTCTCCTGTGTTGATTCTGTGGGCTTTGATGAGCTCAGCGAAAAGAAAATCCCACACATGGCGGAGAAGCAGGGTGGGAGTGTTGTTTATTCTGAGATGGCTAGCTTGGTAGCTTTTTTGATATATTGTTGCCTGAGGCAAACAGCATTAGTCATGTTTGTAGATCCGACCCGTGACCTGGGCATCCATGAAGTCCATCACCAGCAGATGCATTCACAACGGATTGTTAGATGTTGAAACCGTAGATAACTTCTTCTTAGGGCCTTTATTTCTCTATAGTGAGTTTGACTTTGGAATCAGTAAAAGAAGAAGGGCACCATGCAACTATGACTGTACAAAGGTTGAGCATTTGTTAGAATTACACGTTGGTAGTAAATCGATCTCTTTTGTTGATTGACCAATCCATAGTGTTTTATTCATTGATATTTTCTTCTGTTAATCCACATGTGCATATGTGCAGTCTTCTCAAATTAAAGAGAGAAACCACCTACGGAGTAGGTAGGCCTCGACGTACATAGCCCGAATCGAGAAGCGGACTACCTCGGTTCAATGATGATCCGCACATCAACATGAGGAGCCGCATGAGCATACTCGGAGCCTTGATGAACCCCTGAATCTATCCTTTTACTCCAGGCGCATATGATTAATATAGCTTATGTCGGCCACAGAATCCCCGTCCTCTCCGGGCCCCGAGACGAGAGACGTCTCCCATGTCCATGAAGACACTGGAACGCCGGCCGCTCCAACCGATCTCCTAGCTCAAACACAGGACGATCTTGCGAAACCGGACATCAGTCAAACAGTCCAAATGAGTGCACAAGACACAACAGAGCCACACGCTGCGGCTGCTCTCGCCGATCCCGCCACGATGGACTCATCGACAGCTACCCAACCATCACAGGCTGAGCAACAACAACTTGCGGGGCAGATGGAAGGACTATCGGTCTCGGGAAATGCGACACCCAATCTGCCATCCAGCGCAAACACTCCTCCGCCCCCTCCGCCCCAGAAAGACGATGTCTACCTCAACCTGAATGCAAGCTCTACGACCACTGCGCCAACACTGCCACCCATCGATACAACCCGGACCCCCAGCCCCGAGAAAGAGCTCCCAGATGTGCCTAGTGATAGTGACCCGGACTCTAAACGAGGTGGTCAGGTCGAAGGACCTAGGGATGATAATGCCTCCCAGCCGGAGATTCAAAGTATTATGGGACAATTCCAGGACCCCGCGCGAAGCACCGATCAAAAAGTGATCATGTCTCCCCGGCTCGAGCTTGCTGAGCAATTCCGAGGCGGTCCAACTTATTTTCCACCGCGCAAATCCAGTTTGGACCATGCGCCTTCCACCGAGTCTGCGAATTCTCCGGTCGCTACATCACCGGAGAAACAGCCTGTATCCCAACGTCCTCACAAGCCCGAATCGCCGGTATCAAACCGGCGAGCGTCCACCTCAACGGTCCCACCAATGCCGGAACCAGAGGCTGAGCAACCATTTGATTTCCACCGCTTCCTAGAACAGCTGCGTCACCGCACCGCCGACCCCGTCGCCAAGTTTTTGCGGTCGTTCCTCACGGAGTTTGGCAAGAAGCAATGGATGGTACACGAGCAAGTGAAGATTATTAGCGATTTCCTGACGTTTATCACAAATAAGATGGCCATGTGCGAGATCTGGCGAGACGTATCGGATAGTGAATTCGATAATGCCAAGGAAGGCATGGAGAAACTTGTTATGAATCGTCTATATTCGCAGACTTTTGCACCAGCTATTCCAGCTCCGCCAACAATACCCAGAAGTGCAAGTCGGAGCCGGCGGAGGGAGTTAGAAAGGCTCCATGGGCCGTGGCGACGTGGCCAGCATCAGGAGGACATTGAGCGAGACGATATTCTGGCACAGAAGATTCGCATTTACAGCTGGGTCAACGAAACGCATCTGGATATCCCGACTGTGAGCGGCGGTGGACGCCGTTTCTTGAATTTGGCACAGCAAGGTATGTATTATGGGCCATTTGGGGAGTTTTCCAAGTTTCTCACCTTCTGACTTTGCTTGACAGAAATATCAAAAATCAATGGCTACCGTGCTCCCAGAGATAAGGTCATTTGCATTTTGAACTGCTGCAAAGTCATCTTTGGTCTATTAAAGAATTCCAAAAAGGCCGACACATCTGCCGACTCTTTTATCCCCCTCCTGATCTATGTGGTTTTGCATGCAAACCCTGACCATCTTGTTTCTAACATCCAATACATCCTTCGATTCCGCAACCAGGATAAACTTGGCGGTGAAGCAGGGTATTACATCTCATCGTTGGTAGGTTGGACTTCCATACTGCTCTAGATATCAAAAGCTGACCTCTTTTAGTCTGGAGCCATCCAATTCATCGAGACCCTGGACCGCACAAGTCTAACCGTCAGCGACGAGGACTTTGAACGTAACGTCGAAGCTGCCGTGTCCGCTATTGCAGAACAAAACCGCGAATCCGAAACCTTCGAAGAGAAGCCCTCCACCCAACCCCCTTCATCTCAGCCCCAGGCCGGACCAAGCCGCAAAGAAACTATCCAATCCAGTGACGACGACACCTCCGCCCCAGTCGCGGGACTACTACGCACAATCCAAAAACCTCTCTCCACTATCGGCCGCATCTTCTCGGACGAGCCAGATTCAGGTCCTGTCACTTCTCAAGAACACCCCCAGCCTGTCCCGACGCCCCAACCCGTTGTTGCTCCACCCCGTCTCACCCCGAACGTCTACCAGCCTCCTCGTGCAAGCAGCGAGGACGGCCGCCGCTCAGGCGATGAGCGCGCCCGCTCCGCCCACGGTAGGGGAACCGCGAAGAAGAATCTAACCCGCGTACTCGACGCTCAGGACGCCGCCGCACGTCAGGCCAGTGCTGAAGATGCGGAGGCGCGCCGTATACAACGTGCTGAACATAATAATGTCGTCGAGACACTTTCGAACATGTTTCCCAACCTAGACCGGGATCTTATTGATGACGTCGTTAAGATGAAAGAGGGGAGGTGAGTACTTTCTATCCTTGCAGATGTTTGATTGTTATATTGGGTTTTGATTAACTGTTTCTCGCAGGGTTGGCCTAGCTGTCGATGCTTGTCTTGCTCTCAGTGCAGAGTAGTATATAGAATAATGTAGCATCTTTGCTTGTTCGGGAATATCATGTCAGGAACAGTCCTAGCGGCAGTGCTGTCTCTCTTGTCTTTGACTTATAATCAAATAAACTCCAGGGTGTATTCTCCTATGAGAAGATAGTGTATAGCCTCCGTCCAGCAGAGGGCTGGGTATAATAGCTTATAGCTTTTGGATATGCGATCTATGCCGGCTAAATTACGCTACATGGCATCCAAATCAACCAGAACTATCAATTATTGTAGCTGCAAGACCCAAATACCAATTTAATAGGAAATAAAATATTTATATTCACCTATGAGCTGTTATGGAAGGGATAGTCATCGGCAGTTGAACAAGAGGCGAATGCCTCAAACCCCAAAAGATCCTCGGCTCATTTCCCCGCAAAACCGCGGTCTCTCGGAGTTTTACTATAACTCATTCTCCTTTACGGAGTACATCCTTATAATAATTTCCGAGGAATAAATACAATCTCTTCTCCTGAAAGGGGCAACATTGCACACCATGTCGTCCCCCTTCCGCATCGTTGAGCATATCGTGCCCACGCAGCACATTAGGGAATATCCTGGAGCCACGGCCAACGACCAAGAAGAGCCCTTACATCTGGCTGTGAAACAATATATTCCACTGGATAACCCCAATCCACAACCAGGCGATATTACTATCCTTGGAGCCCACGCGAATGGTTTCCCCAAGGTATGAGATGCAAAGTGCCGAGGTCCAGAGCCGCCAGACCCGCTTTCGGAGCTGCGCGCATTGCGATATGGCCTTCGAGACATAGAATCAGCCATGTACTGATCATATCTCACAGGAACTATATGAACCACTTTGGGAGGAAATCTACGCTCGATCTAAGCAGAATGGGATGCGCATTCGCAGTATCTGGATGGCCGACGTGGCGCAAGAAGGCCAAAGCAGCGTGATCAATGAAGATTCCCTAGGAAATGATCGTATGTGATATGGATGTCTATGAGAAGTAACTACGATGCTAACCTAATTACAGCCAGCTGGTTCGACCACCCCCGAGATCTCCTCCACCTAATCAATGTCAAGCGGGCTGAGATGCCCCGGCCTATCGTTGGCATCGGGCATAGCATGGGAGGCGCCCATCTGTAAGATTCAACAACCAGAACATCCACGCAGCAGCTGGCTAATACAACATAGCACACAACTGTGTCTAATGCACCCCCCGACTCATCCACACACTAATCCTCCTAGACCCAGTGATCCAGCGTCAAACAACCCAACTAGACAGTCTCAGCCTCCAAAAGAACAAGCGCGAGATCGCCAAAACAACCCAACTATCAACCCACCGGCGCGATATCTGGCCCTCGCGCCAAGCCGCCGCAGAAGGCTTCCGCCGCAGTCCCTTCTACCAATCCTGGGACCCACGAGTGTTATCCCGCTGGATCGAACACGGTCTGCGCGACCTCCCAACAGCCATCCACCCTCTAGACCCCAATACGAAAATAGACAAAACAACCGGGCCCCCAGTAACCCTCCGAACCCCACTGCACCAAGAAGTGTTCACCTTCTCGCGGCCAAACTACACCAACATCCCGAACAGCAACAAGCCCGTCAACCGCGTCACACACCCAGATCTAGACGCAACCCATCAAGACAGCTACCCCTTCTACCGGCCCGAGCCTGCCCGTATCTTCTCCCAGCTCCCGTTCCTGCGCCCCAGCGTGCTGTACATCTTCGCCGGCAAGTCGGATATGTGTCTCCCCGCTATGCGCGCCGATAAACTCGCCAACACGGGCACCGGTCTGGGTGGTAGTGGTGGTGTTGCTGCGGGCCGGGTGCGTGATGTCTTCCTCGAGGATTTTGGTCATCTACTTGCTCAGGAGGCTGTGAATGAGTGTGCTGATGCGGCGGTTTCTTGGCTTGCGCCGGAGATCCGTCGCTGGCGTGCGGAGGAGGAGAGTTTCCGCGCGGTCTGGAGTCAGAAGTCGAAGATTGAGAAGGTTACTGTTGATGCGGAGTGGTTGAAGAATGTTCCTGCGCCGGCGCGAAGGCCGAAGAAGGCGGTGCAGAATGGGGAGTCGAAGCTGTAAGTGGTTGGTTTGTATAGCTGTCTGGGTTTTGTGGCTCCTTCATTCGTAGCGTTGGGCGTAAGTATAGAGACCATGGATACTCTGCTTTGGCTAGTTATTCTAGCACATGTGAATATGGAATATCCAAGACTGCATCGTCTGAATGCTTTTCTATTGCTTTCAGATCTTATGAATGAGTACGCCGAATCAACGATCATAATAGTTCGCAACCCCGACTCCCATCTATAGCAACGACCCCGCGTGTCCCCATGTAGAAAGAAAGAGGAAAAAAAGGTATCCTATATCTATGATCCAAAGCAAAAAGATCCGTCTCCAGGACGAATCGTGTTCGTGGAAGCTGTGCAAGAGCAACGACAGAGAATAAAAAACAGTGCTCTGCTCCGAGTCTCGCGGCAAAGGACAGACAAGAAGAAGCGTGGTATCCATTTCATGTTATGTCGGAAGTCACATTTGCAAGAGTGTGGTATATCGCCACCCATAAACAATGGATGCGAGTAATGAACCAACTGGGAGAGAGAAAATGTCCGGCTGTTTCACGTTGACTTCTTGGCTCGGGATACCCCGTTCTCGGATGGTCCGCCCGAGGTGCGGATCACTTCGGGGATCTGCCAGAAGTGCGCCCAGCGCAGATGGTATTCTTCTTGTCGGTTGTTGAGGCAATGGCGGAGCCAGATTCCCCATGTGATATAGAAATATGCACCAATGCCAGTCATGATATGCCTGCGAGAAAGAATGAGTTAGCAAACAGTTCAATAGTAATAATGAGAGTTTAACGCATACCACCAGCCATGACCTTCCAAAAAGATACCCCATGGAAGACCAACAGAGCGGCGCATTCGGCGGATATCAGAGCAGAACACATTATCCAGGCTCCAGATGAAGAAACCTCCCAAAAACATGCTCAGTCCATATGCCACCATGAACCACATGGTCTTGAGGGTCTTCTGATCGCGCACGTTCTCGTAGTGCTGGTGCTCCTTCGTTGGAACGGGGAGTCCCTTCTTCTGGCGGGCTAGGCGGTCCTCCTCCGTTGAGTGGCGCCATTTGGGTCGGAGGGTCACTTCCATAGTGTGCATGCTGCGCAGGACGACGACGGTGGTCAGGAGGGCGTAGGCGTTTTGGTGGAAGACTGGGTCTTGGAGGTAGTGGTAGTACAGGGTGATGAATACAGCGAGACCTGCGAGCGAAATTCCGAGACAGACTCGTACGATGGTGGACCGAGAGTACGAGAATGAGGCATAGGCCATAAGGCAGGTAGTGTAGATCATTGAGAGTTCGTCCACTAGTTGCATAGGGTCTGTTGCGGGGATTCACCGGTCAGCATTGCTCTTGCGATCACTCATATATCGTTTTAGGCATGTTTGGTGTATACCCCCGGTTTAAACCAGATCTTGGGCTTGGGAGGGGTATAACCCTGGAGGGCCACTTGCATTTGAGGGTCGAGTGAAACAGGAAGCTCCCTGTTCCGACTACTAGGTAGCCAATGAGGGCGACCGTGAAGATTTGGTCATGTCCATTGCGACGGCAGCTTCTTATCCCCTGGACTCCAAGCCACATGAACAGCAAATTCGTGAGTGTGTTGACAATCTCCGCGGCATACTCGGTGGCATAATAGTCCTGGGAAAAGGGATATTAGCGTAGTTCTCTCTGTACGCGTCACTTCTGGTACACACCTCTTCGCACCAGTTCAAGGTGGAAGTGACAGGTGCCCAGTATCCGTCCTTTGCAGGCGGATACGGAAAGAAGGGCAAAGACCAAGGCATTATACTGTATACCAAGGTCGAAAAAGAGAGACTCTGTGTAAGTGAAGGTCTCTACAACATATAAAAGGACAATCCAAAAGGAAAAGAAAGGACAACAACGAACCACATGACGTCGATTACCCACGGGGCTGCCTGGTCCGTGCGCACTCCGCGAGATGCCGGATGCAGGTTCTATTTATTGACATCTTGCTACTTACTCCGTATTACTCTCTATATATCTATTTATATTCGATACCGATGCTGCATTTGAACTATGAAACAAGATTCATATGCGTTGTACAAGTAGTACTGCAAATGATCTGCATAGTGCAGAAGTACAGCAAGGTCAAAGAGCCGCATGAAGGATGGTATGGCAGTCATACGATAGATATACTATATAGTTGACTTTGGAATACATGAATATGAGCTATTAATTGGATTAATAGTAGACTTCTACTCTTCTACTCTCCTACTCCGTACATATTGTACATATTGTACAAATGTATAACTCCAAGCGGTGTGGCTTATCGATAGCCATAACCCGATGACTTCACTAGTTTCAACGTCTTTTTCGTGACCTCGGCATATTCAGCACTTGCAATTACTCTCTATCTTGTTATCTTGTTCAATTCTATTTACCTTCATTTACTCTGTGGAATGCAAGCTGCTGCCCATATTTGGCCGTGACCGTCTGTCTTCGTGGACTTTTTGTTTTTTTTTACGCATCCGGATCTCGACGTCTTCTTGACCGTTACGCATACACGACGCCCATGGACCTCGATCTAGCATTGAATCTTTGATTTTTAACCTAAATATATTCACTGTCGTCGCCTTTGCGGTCCGAGTTGGCCAGCAATGTCAAACAATAGCACCTTGACGGTACCACAGGTGAAAACGAGCACCTCAAAAGGTATGATTTCTGTTCAAACCCCAATCCTTCTCATTCCATCGCTAATCATAATCTTCTCATTGCTTCAGCCTCGAAAACACCCTTCCACTTTGCTGCTGGTCTTTGCTCTGGCCTTACCTCCTCCATCCTTCTCCAACCCGCGGATCTCCTCAAAACTCGAGTCCAACAATCCCAGGGAGCAGCCCTCCTCCCAACCTTGAAGGCGATCATATCCTCTCCGAACCCAATCCGTGGATTATGGCGTGGCACACTCCCTTCAGCCCTCCGCACCGGCTTCGGGTCAGCACTATACTTCACCAGTCTCAACGCCTTGCGCCAAGCCGTTGCACAATCCAACCCGATGGCCCTAGCCAGTCCGGTAGCGAGCGTTAGATCTTCCTCCGTCCTCCCCAAGCTCTCCAACACAGCCAATCTTGCCACGGGAGCCGTCGCAAGAGTTGCTGCAGGCTTCGTCATGATGCCCGTGACCGTGATCAAGGTCCGCTATGAGTCAGACTACTACGCATATCGTAGCTTAGTAGGCGCAGGCCGGGATATCGTCCGCACTGAAGGCCTGCGTGGGCTCTTTGCAGGATTTGGCGCTACCGCCGCTCGCGATGCCCCATATGCGGGTCTCTACGTTCTCTTCTACGAGCAATTGAAGAGACGGTTCGCCTTGATGGCCGCACAACCCTCTAATGATGGCGACACACCAAATGCGGTTTCGTCCTCGTCAATAAACTTCGTCTCCGGTGGAGCAGCCGCTGGTATGGCGACTGCAATCACCAATCCTTTTTGACGCCGTCAAGACCCGGTTGCAGCTAATGCCTGCCAAGTATGGGAACATGTTGCATGCTACCCGCTTGATGATCCACGAGGATGGCTTGCGCAGTCTCTTTGGTGGACTTGGTATCCGCATGGCTCGCAAGGCCATTAGCTCCGCGCTGGCATGGACTGTCTATGAGGAGCTCATCCTGCGCGCTGAGAAGCGGTGGGAAGCGAATTCCCAGATTGGTCTTTAGGCTTGCATTCTACCTGCCCTTGGCCATCCCTCTCCTCACATCATACCCATTCCACTTTCTGTATTATAGTCCAGCTCGTTCAAGCTCGCATCTGGGTCCGTGCTGATACGTGCATACCTGCATTGGGATTGGCCCAATGGGAGTTTTATACGGGGCTGAAATCTGACATGTATATTGTACTGCATCTGCACATATTGCCTATTATATAATTCCAACCCTCAACTTTTCCATTTATACTATGGGTATCCCCGAATCTAGCTATACCAAGCACATGTGCCCGCCAGATGTTTGCCAACCCTATAGACTGGGCGAGACGGTGGACTGGATACATAGGGCAGACTGGTACAACGAGAGGGAAGATAGGATCAAAATAAAAAACAAAGTCGTCAGCTCATATCGCGTTACTGTACTACCACATACTCTGTGATATAAAAACAAAATAAAACGAAAAGGAACAGATCTCGACACACCACAACTCAGCAGAATTTCAACAAGAAATAGTCCAATCAGACCGGGTCTCAAGAAACAAGACAATAACAATGTTCAAACATTGAATAGAACAGCCATAGATATCCGTGAAAATCCGAATTTTCCTGTCCAACCAGCGACATAATCAGGACAGCGCAGAATAGCAGACGTTTATCCAAAGATGCGCACCCGACCTGAAGGGCTCTTCTTCCGGACCAAGAACAGCTTGTCCTTTTTGCGGTCGTTGACTTTTAGTTCGGTCATCGAGTGGGAGGACGAAGCGATGACCTTGCCCTCGCGTAGACGTCTGGTGTGGGCGAACAGCTGTTCTTGGAAGTCGTCGTCTATCCACTTTTTGATGATGATATAATTGGTGTCGTTCTATGAACATGTTAGTCTGTTTCCATTGCATACATATGTACACATTGGGTTATCATTCTTACCTCGTCCCAGTCCCAAGGTAGACCATAGGCGATCAAAGTATCTGGCATCAAGTGCTTGCGATGGACCTGGTATAATGTCAGTTAAGCCCCGTACATAGGTAGCATATAGAGGGAATATAAATCAGGGTAACTGCATACCTTAATCCAGGTGAGCTTGGTCTCTTCTTTCTTCTCTTCCTTTTCTCTTCCTCCTTTTTCTCCTCTTTCTTCTCCTCATCATTCTTTTTCTTATTGACGATAGCATCAATCTCTTCGTCGGAATAGCCAAGGCTACGAAGGTGTTCGCGGAACTCCTGCGCCTTCTTAATCGCCTCCTCCGCCGCTCTCTGCTTCATCCGCTCCTGTTCGAGCTTCCACTCCTCAACAGCAGCAGCCTTCATAGCCAGCTCCTTCTTCTTTTTCTCCTCGGCCTCCCTCGCCTTTCGCATATCCTCATCCCGAATCTCCTGAATGAGCTTCTGACGCTCCTCCTCTTCTTCCTTCTGTCGGGCAAGCTCTTTCCACTTCTCCTCTCGGACAAGCTTCTCCCTCTCCTCTTCTTCCTCCTTCCTCCTTGCGAGCTCCTTCCACCTCTCCTCCCGCACGAGCTTCTCCCTCTGTCCTTTCTCGTCCTGCGCACGCGCAATGTCCTTCAACCTCTCCTCCTGTAGTTTCTGTCTTACCTCCTCTTCCTCAGCAGCAGCCTTCTTTTCCATCGCAAGCATCTTGAGCTGGTAGCGTTCTTCGGCCTTGCGCTCCTCCTCCGCGGATTGTTCCTTGTGCTCGAACCGAGCCAGCCTATTCAGCTTCTCCACTATCTCGTCCTCGTAGGCCATCTCCTCTCTGAGGGTGTGCATCGCGTGCGGATCGGGATCCTGATTTATAATAATTTTCTCGCGCTGCTTTTCGCTGCGCTTACGAGACTTCTGTACCTCGCGCTGCAGTCGTTCGATCTCAATCTGATGCTTCAAGAGCTCCCTGTCCTGCCGGTGATTGTCGTTCACCAGCAGTTGGTTGCTCATGTCCTGCCGGAGGTCATTTTGGTCCAGTATGTGCTGGCGCATGGCCAGCTCGGGGTCACGGTGGAAGGGGATGCATCCCGCGAGACGCTGCTGACGGCGCGTCGGCGGCGTGGCCCCGGTACATCCAAGACATCGTCGTCATCGTAATCGAAGCGGTTGTGGCGGTGGTTGTGGTTGTTGTTGGTGTGATGGTCGTCGACGAACCGCTGCTGCACATGTCGAGACTGGGGCCTGTTCTCCGAGCGGCTGTTTGACTTCAGCCCCTGCTCATTGAAAATCATTACCGCTGGTGGTGATGGTGCCACTGGTGGGTCGCGTTCGCGGCGTCGGCCGCTTGTCGAGGCCGACCGTTGCACGCGGGTTTGGATTGGTGCCAGGTACTCGCGAGAGATGACTTCCGGGCGGCGGTGACGAGAGCGTGAGCGCTCGCGGATATGGGTTCTAAGACCTGTTCGCCGGGTGCTGATGTCGGCCTCGAACTCCGAGTCATTCGAGGAGTAGTCATCGTCGTCAAACATTGCTTGTACGGGCATTTTGGCGGGGTTGCGAAGAGTATGCGAAGAGTACGCGGGTAGTATAGATTGGGACCCTGCTAGATAGGGGCCTGAGCGGGGTTATCAGGTGCAGGTGGCAGATGATAGGCTATATATGAGCACCAGGAGAAAGCGAAAGAAATGAGAAGCAAGCTGAAGAACCAAAAAAAGATGGGGGCCAAAAAAACAGTCCCGAATTTGTATACGGCAAGTGTGCGCTTATCAGCCAAAGCGGGGGAGGGGCTGGGGGGAGAAAGAGAAAGAGAAAAACGAGGGCCTGGATTACCTTTTTATTTATTCAGCTGGGCATCATGGGCGTCATTTTTAATTCCTGCAGTTCAGCCTCATGGCGCATAATCTGTGGATTCGACTCGATAATGCTTTTTCACTCTTATATCCTCCGTACCCCCTCCTATGTTCCATTCTATCAAGACTTGGTATACTTCCATCGTTCCTCTCTACGTTCTACACCCCCACGCACACATCCTCTCTCTTTCTCCTTCCCAAACTTCAACTCGAGGGTTCCAAGATTGGGATACATAGCATCGTCATCAAGGCCCCACTTCGAGTCCAATCTCGAGATTAATGTTAACGCCCTTAACAACTACTCCGTAGCCACTCTAATATTAATTCGTCTAGACCCCACATCAGGCATGTCCGCTGCATCGACCCCCCAACCATGAAACAAAATTTCGTACGCCACTTAAAATAGCCACGATCAGACCCTTCGCGCTAACTTCCTATGAGACGCTGAGTACTGATTTAAAAGACAAACGGCGGTTACTGAAACTATATTGTACGATCGACTCCTTTTCTGTTGGATGATCTTGTCGCTCGCACCTTGAACTTGGACTTGGACTCGAGTTTGGGTTCATTTAGGCGCTGGTTTTTCTACCTAATTTTGACAACTAGGAGTTCGATATACTATTTGTTGCGATGTAGGTTGGGCACCAATAGTGTTTCATGTTTGTCCATCCTGATCTATATCCATTTCGATACATGGTACCTTCCCGGGTGGGGCTTTTCTATCCATGGATCTTAGTTGCCGCTTTTGGGAGAGGGGCGCCTGCGCAGGTTAGTATATTTCAGTCCGGACTCTGCCCGCCATCATCACGTGTTGTAACTATGTATTACTTAAAGTCCATGAGTGTTTTAGCCTATCCATGATCGTCATATTCGACTGATCTGAGTGCCTGAAAGATCTGCCGTCTCGACTGCTCGCACGGGTTAGGCCGTGTGTCCACGTAGGTTTGAATAACGGACATCTGGAGTGAGCGGGCTGGTTCGTTTCATACATACATGCATCTAAGAACGTGATACCATCCATGGAATGCGACGAGGGACCTGTGGATGAGCTCGGCTGTTCCCGTGAAATGACCCATGGACACCTGACTTCTGCACCCGACTTCCTTCTTCCTAGTTTCTACGTCACGTCTATGAACACTCATATTCGACTTCATGTGTCTAGTTCTCGAAGACCGCTATCCATGTATGTTACACAGCTGTGTGTGGGTCTACAGTACCTGACTGCATCATTCTTTTGGATACAATCCAACGCGGCTAAATGAAGCATCGCTAGTGGTTATATACCTCCACCGAGTGAGTAACTGTACCCCCAAAGACTTTCTATGCCAGTGAAGACCATCAAAACTGCGCTCTCGCTATACTTTACATTTACCGCATCTAACTTGAAGCTTCCTGACCTAACCTTATAAGTACCATGGCTCAATATAAAATACTATAGGGTAACCCCTAGACTTTTTCTAGCCTTATATCCAACCTACACATATAGCGCCCCAACTCAAGCCACACCTATAATAAGCTATCTGCCTAGCAGCTACAGTGGCAAAAAAGTACATTGTATGTCTGTGTGTACTCGGTACAACACACTGTCCATCTCTATTCCTAGACATGGGAACCCTGTCATTGCAATAACAGCGACAAGGGCCCCACCCAGCGGCCAGTCCGTGACTTGTTGCCAGTATCGCAAAGTTGCCACAATATAAGCCTATCACATGGCATTGTCTCACGAATTATGCGCCGTTGGTTTTCATTCCAGGAAATGGGTAATTCTGTTGCCCGGATATACGTCATTTTTAATATACGCAGTGGGGAACATGGGCATTGAAGTAGTATGAGTACTGAGATGACGCTGATGGCATTAGTATGGTAGCACATGAAAGCCCTACAATGTACGATGTAAGTTGTATATGATATAGTTAGAGTTATGCATGATTTTATGATTTAATCTTTTTTTTTTCGTTCCCTTACAATCTTGGAAGATAGTTGCAGATCTTCAGGTATGCTTTCAACTAGACAGCGCTTGGCATATCAGCCCTACCAAATTGGTATTTTGGTGAGATACTATAAAAATATTAGGGCTACATAGGGACTTACTGTATGTCGAATAGTAGACAGGACGAGAGCGAAGTAGATTTAACCGTGCTTCGCATTTGAGGACCCTTGCATCGTTGACAATGACAGCTGCAGCACGGTAAGCTACCACGGCCCCACAATGCATTTCTTGACACGCAACTTGTATAATGAACATACTAAATCTTGGGATGTTTGCACCGAGGCTACGTATTTCTCTCGATGGCTCTCTCTCGCTAGACGGCCGAAGGTCAATCAATTCTTGAATGCAGATTTAGGCATTGGCAAAGGAATGGCAGAAGATGGAGTTATATGTAAAGAGGTTATCATGGCACCTGTGAACGCTATTTCCTCGCTTGGTTCATCCAAGAAAGATATTTTTGCAAACAATAACTCCTGGGTATCTAAGTCACCAGCCTAAACCCACGTATGTATAGCCGCCAGAATGTGACCAGGCCAGCCGGACATAGAAGGGCAACCATTTCTACCTTCCCTGTATCTCCACTCGGCATAGTATATCGTATCCACTCGTCAGCCTCGAGATGACGGCGTCTTCAAGCCATCCAACCGTGTCCCAGATCCGCCCGAAAGGAAAAGACAAAGTAGAATCAGCATTGTCTGCTTCCTTCCATGGAGATTCACATTCACGAGAATCGCTGAACCTTTGGTATACAGATACCACAATCAAGGATACCCGCCACATGGGAGCGCGTCGCGTTCACGTCTTGCTCTCGTCTCATATTCTTATTTCAACAATGTGTTCACGCCCTCCCACCAGACTTGAGAATCTGCTCCAGGTTCTCCCGACTCTTCTGGTTTGTTGTCTCGTGATATTGCAGCTTCTTCTCGAGGCTGGCGATCTCAGTGGTGGCCTCGCCGCTCTCACGCGTAAGACGCTTGTTAACTGTGTCGACGGGAACATTGACGAACCTGGAACAGGGCAATAAGTCAGTCTCAGTTTCCGAAAAATAGGGCCAATGAAAAATTTCCCCGACTGTCTCTTGGGGTCGCAAAATTGAGAACAGGAGATGAGAAACGAAATAAGAAACAAAAAGACAAGATAGGAAAAGAAATAAAAATAAAAATAAAATAAAAAATGCTCACATCTTTCCGACGCCCTCATAAACCCTCGTCTCGGAAGGCAGCTCAGACAACTCTTTCGATGTAAGCTGTAGCATGCGGATATCGCGCTGCTTGGCCGTCATATGAGCCTTGGTGATACTGATCTGCTGCTGCGAGGCGATCGCACGGGTCTCAATCTCCTGGAGGAGCTGTATTTGTTAAAAGCATTAGCATTTGCACACTTTCATTGGAATTGACTTCTTCAATCGGGAACCAGAGAGAGAGACAAGAGGCTGAGTGAGACCGAATTGACTTGGCACACCACTTCCCCTGGCCATCTGCTCGCAGTATCCAACTCAAAGACGTGAATTTATCCAGCCCAAGACACACCTTTTGCAGAGCTTCGTTGGGAATCGACATGTTGGCTGTGGATGTTGCTTTTGGAGCTTGAATGTGGTTGAGGGGTAGGAGGGGTGCGGAGGAACGGAAGTGAAATTGTTTTGTTGTCGTGGACTCCGGATTAGTGATTTAATTTTCTTCCTGGAGAAAATATGTATCGACTGATTTGGCTTTTATTGAAACAGTCTCGTAAGGGTGTCCCTATGCAATGTCTTGGTCAACAGAATCAATTCGCCTTGCTCGGCGAGGCCTTTGGGGTCAAGGCGGTGGGCAGGCGGGGCGGTGGAGTATTGCCTGACTTAGGGCTTGGGGGTATACGAGAGAGGTATACGAGAAGTGTGTCAAGCACCAGAGAAAAGCATGGAGTCTGTGTTAGGCGAGACAGACGTATTTGTCTCTGCTCTGTGCCTCTTTATTGAGAGGACCTACCTAGATTGGGTCAATATTGGCTTCGGCAATATACACCGTATGGATTTCCTGTCTAGGAAGCGCGCTTAACAATGAGCACCTTGCGTTAGAAACAGAAAAGAAGATAAACAGGTCTTTCAGGGTTTAGGACCCTTTGTTAGCAGCATCTATAGGTACTACTCTTCAACACAAAGGGCATGGATCCATACATGTTTTGTAGGTACCAATGCCCATGTAACAGTGTTTTGTACTTGGTTTCATTCGAAGTGGACAAACCTAGTTCCAATCCTATACTTGAAGCCGTCTGGTGTTTTTAATTTAATGAGGGAGATAAGCTTGGGAATTCTGGCGACGCCACAAAAACATGGGGGAAAAAACGTGGCGATATTGCTTCATCGGGGCATTCTAGGATATGGCAATGGCGTGCGAATCTCTCAAGTAGCGGTGTGATAGAGTGTGATAGAACAAGACAGAACGATATCTAATGCAAGCCATGAGATCAACATCTCCAGGGAGGGATATCACTGCCGTTTCCAGCATGGAATAGTAGGGTTACCGAGAAGGTCCGTGTGGGTGCCAATCTAGCTGAGACAGGTGACAGTCAACGCAACCTTTTACCTAATGTTTAATGGCTTTGGAGATAGAGGACTTGAATGGATATTTGAGTAGGCAAAAATCAATGCGCATTAGAAAAATCACGATTCCCTCCAGTGCATAATTCCTTGAGCGCGAAAATGACAGAAATCTAAAGACCCTAA